CGGTGTTTTGGGTTTAGGGATTTAGGGTTTAGCAGTTAGGGTGTTTAGGGTTCAGGGCTTAAGAGTTTAGGGTTTAGGATTTACTGTGGGGTGTTTAGGGTTTGGGCTCTAGTTTGGGGATTTAGGGACGTCTCCATCCCATCCGGTCCCATCCCATCCCCTCCCATGCTGCTGATGCTATTCTTCCCGTGCTCAGTGTAATCACGGCAGAAGCAGAGTGGCAGTGCCAGCAGTACTTAATCGTCGACCGGTAGCAGTAGCGGTAGCAGTCGGCTGTGGGAGTGGGAGTAGGAAGAGGAGGAACAGGACGATCATTCCGAGTTATTGGATTATCTCAGTTCGCTATATACACCATCTTCTTAACCCGGTTGCCCTAAACCCTAAGCCCTAAACCCAAACCCTAAGCCCTAAACCCTTCGCAGAAAGAGACGTCAGTACATGTAAAAAAAGAACCTGCACCCTATCCTAAACCCTAAACCCTAAACCCTAAACCCTATCCTCATGACTACTTGTGTTATGCAGCCAGGCCCAGCCAGTGCCCAGAGGCACTCGAGGATCTGCTCTTCGAGGTTCCCTGTGGAATTGAACCGGGCGGTTGCAGAACCGTTACTCCCGGGTTTAGGGTTTCGGGTTTAGGGGTTTGGGGTTTAGGGGTTAAGGGTTTAGGGGTTTAGGGGTTTCGGGGTTTAAAAGTTTAGGGGTTTAGGGGTTTAGGGGTTTAGGGTTTAGGGGTTTAGGGGTTTAGGCTTTAGGGGTTTAAGGGTTTAGGGGTTTAGGGTTTGGGGTTTAGGGGTTTGGGGTTTAGGGTTTAGGGTTGGGGTATGAGCGGACCTATACTGGTCACCTAAACCATCAACCCCTAAACCGCCAGAGGGGGCCTACCTGAAGGTTACCTGTAAAGCCTCGGATCAGTCCGGTGCCTTCAAACTTCTGAAGACTGTCTGCTGCTCAGTAGGGAATGGGGCAATGGATCCCTATAGTTGTCCTTATATAACCCCCAATAATGGATAATCCATTCCCCCATTCCCTACCAAGAAGCAGACAGGTTTCAAGGACGCAGGGTTTGCGATGATGTTAAGGGTTCGGGAACTTAGGGTTAAAGTGTAGGGGTTTGGGCCATGACTTTCTACCTCTGGGCCATCATCGGAACAAAAAATCGTATGGGGGGGGGGGGGACTTGTTTTACCCTAAACCCTAAACCCTCAACCCTAAATCTCTCTCGGACGTGCTTATGCTGGTTTGCGCCTCGCCTCGGCTTGACCACCGGGCTGCCCCAAGCCAGAACAAGACAGCACGGTTTAGGGTTTAGGGTTTAGGGTTTAGGTTTTTCGGGTTTTAGTGGAAGACAGGGTTTTAAGGTAAAAGCCAGAAAGTTGGAATATCATTATCCTAAACCCTTTATGGTAAATTAGAAGGTATCCTACCCTGAAACCATATTCCAACTTTCTGGCTTTTACTTTAGGGCTTGTAGAATTTAGTGACGACCACCCCGCCCAAATTGTAATTTGTCGGCAATGTGGGGTCGAACCGATCCTGTGATCCTGATCATACAAGAAAGGCCCGTAACCGTCGGAAGTTCGCTTCGAGCCGTATGCACGCCCCGTTGAAGGCAATCGTAGTGTTATAGTTATATATATATATATATATAGTATTGTAGCAGCCCTATACATGCTGTATTCCTAGATGCGTGAACGATTACAAATCCCACAAAGAATCAGCTCCCGATCAAACTCACTACTGTAGACCCTTAACCCTGAACCCTGAACCCTAAACCCTAAACCCCAGGCCGCAAGCCAAATTAAAAACTTCTGCCAACACTCAAACCCCGAAACACACCCTTATACAGCCGGTAACCTCAGGTAAAGCTTGCAGAATGACTTATAAGCATGGAAGCGCCCTAGAAAGCCATCTCAAGCCCCTTCATACCTAGACCATGTGAGCCCGGAAAGAGCCCTGAACATAGATCCCTGATCAAGAATCTTATACTGAACATCCTTGTGCCCTAAACCCTCAACCCCTAAACCCTAAACCCTAAACCCCTAAACCCTAAACCCCTAAACCCTAAACCCTAAACCCCTAAACCCTAAACCCTTTCCATAAAGAGCTCCGGAGGTGTTCAACGAGTTTCGGGCCCAAAGGCCCTGGCTAGCGGCCGGGTTCCTCCGGCCGAAAGGGTGCAAGCCTTGGGCGCTTTCAGGGTTTAGTGTTCAGGGTTTAGGGTTTAGGGTTCAGGGTTTAGGGTATGGGGTTCAGTTTTTAGGGTTTAGGGTTCAGGGTTTAGGGTTTAGGGTTCAGGGTTTAGGGTATGGGGTTCAGTTTTTAGGGTTTAGGGTTCAGAGTTTAGGGTTTAGAGTTTAGGGTTTAGGGTTCAGGGTGTAGAGTTTAGGGTTCAGGGCTCAAGGCTTGCTTGAGCGCTGCTCATGCTCAAGATCGTGGCCGTGGCCATGGTGATGACGATGGTGATGTATGCTGATGATCACGATGATGAACGTGAGTATGAGAATGATGATGATGATGCTGCTGGTCATCACCACCAGCATCATCACCATCAGCAGCAGCACCAGCACCATCACCAGCATCAACTCTATCAGCATCACCAACACCAGCAGCATCACCATCATCATTACCATGACCCTCATCATCGCCATCATCATCAAACCACGAGCTCGTCAGCATCGGCTTCATCATAACCATATGAACATCGTCAACAATGCCATGAGCCATCAACCTTCAGGCACGCAGAAGGGACCCCGGTATTTCAGACAGGTCTCTGAAGCTGGCTACCCGCGAGATGGGTCCAACCCCCTCCTCTCAAAGCTTCGCGACCCCCGAGCAAGCCACAGTTAACCCCGAAGCCACGACACCTGCCTCTTCAGACCAATCCCCTAGTCACCAACCCGGAAAACAAACGCATGAAGACGGCGACGCCCTTGAACCCCACCTCCCCCCAAAGCATCCAACAAACCATAAATCAGAGTACCAGCTTGTAAACCAGCCCTTTTGCATAAACCTCTATACAACCCTAACCTTCAACCGTGAACTACTCCGAGAGAATGCCCAGTATCGCCCTGGACTTGGTCCTCTTTGATCGCAGCTTCGGGGCCCTCGCCCGGCGTCTGTCCGGAGCTGCGGCCGGGTATCCCAAAAAGGGTAGCAGGCGTTGAGGACGGTTACTATAAGTGCCATTAATAACTAGAATATGGTTTTGGGGCCGATTGGGCCAATTATAATCAAAATGGTATTGGCACTTATTTGGCCCCTATCTTACTATAGCCTGACTGACTGCGAGGGCTGCTGTACGTTGCGATAAGGGTTGCCGCAAGGCGCTAAGGGTTTTAGCAGCTTACCACTGCGAGGATTTCTGACGGGTTCGGAGTTTAAGGGCTGTAAGTGTAGTCGTGTTTCGGGGTTAATTGAGGCTGGAGTTTCGGGGTCTGGGTGTTTAGTGCTAAGGCTTCATCGTCATCGCCACAGTCATCGCTCTTCACCGTTTATTTCTGGCTATGATTTGGGCTGGCAGCTGCTAGTTGCGCAAACTCTGAACCCCACACCCTTGACCCTACAGCATAAGCCCCAAACCTAGACGCGGCCACAGTTGACCTACCCAGACAAGCCCTTACGCCCCTTTCATCCTCAGCTGCAGCTTCTTACTCTTTGGGTGCGGGGGGTGGGGGGAGGGATGATAGCAAGCATGTGTACGCACTTCTTGTACCTTGTCTAAGTCAATGCTGCTTGTTCTGCAGTCAGGCGTTTTCATGCGCTTGTTGTCTGGGAGTGCGGGCTGCTGACAAGCAAGTTCACGTACCTGTTGTTCCCAAGTAATTATCGGCAGACGATGTGGACGCCACCTAAACAGCGCAGACTCCGTGCAGCAAGTTCTTTCGTGTCTGTTGTCCAGGTGACCATCTGTTTCATAAAAAGTAAGCACTACGTCCTTCAATAGGAGATGCCCTTCAACTGTCGGAGAGTGGCGCGGTCGACAACATGTGGAAACAGATGCAAAAAGTTCTGCTCCTGACGGCGAGATTACAGCGGAACCCGCCTTGGCAGAGTATTTGTATCGGTTCCTGTTGTGCTGGCATCAGAAAGGCAGCTTCCAGTATTTCAATCAAAAAGTCGGAGCTTCCTGCAAACTCAAGGTTGAAAAAGGTCCTTCCTAAGTTTACATGTCAATGAATGCTGGCACGCACAGCGAAATCGGTAGGGCAGCGATGGCCACACCAGGCCCTAAACTCTGGGCTTAACCCTAGGCCCAAAGCTCCAAGCCCTAGGTTGCATGCCTAACTTTAGGGTGAGACCAGCAGCCTAAGCTCCAAACCCCATCGGCCCATCCCTGAACCCTAAACCCCCGGGCCCCTTCCTGAACCCAAAACCCAAGGAACCCTAAACCCTAAACCCCTAAACCCTAAATCCCTAAACCCTAAACCCCAAACCCCAAACCCAAAACCCCGTCTGAGGTCACTTCCGAGGGCAATCTGCCAGGGAGCCCAAGCTCAGTGCTGGGGTTCGGAGTTTCAGGTTCCCAGAGAGCCCAATACCCCTTAATTAGGGAATATATCTTAAATCATAATATGAGCCCCCCTATAAAATTTAAGGTATATTCCTTAATTAAGGGATAGTGGGCTCTCTGGGTTCAGGGTGTACGTAGGGGTTGAGGGGTTTAGAGTTTAGGGGTTTTGGATTTCGGGATTCCCGTGAACCTTGAACCCTAGGTTTGCGGGTGTTCCGCCACTGCATGGCCGGTCTGTGATGGCCAGGGTCCACTTTGATCGTGTTTTTCTTCCTGAAACCTGTTTGGAGGCCGAAGGTTACGGTGCTGGTTCTGTCTCTTTTCCCTTCTCTGCTTTCGATGTTTTGCTTGTGGTGCCACGTTTCTCTAGCAGGGTCCGTTGATAAACTAGCTCCCCTGACAAATGATAGCTAAAACGATTATGGTGATGGTGATGGTGGCCGTCACATTATGTAGAGGATGCCAGCTCAATTTTCTAGACACTGAGCATATGCCGAGCTGTACAGACGTGAAGAAGGGATTTTGGTTCGGGTTTAATATTTAGGGTTTACGGCCGAGGTTTTCGAGTTTAGGGTTTCGGGGCTGTGCACAACAGCAGTTGGCCTAGTATTGGTGGTCGTAATGCCCCAACACCAGTCAGAGGATTGTTGTTTGGTCGGTTGACAACGGTCATGCAGATCGAAATGACAAGTTCCCCGCAGTCTCGAATAGTTCTTGCAGTGCCTCGACGAACGCCACAGGCTCCGTTACCTGGCAGATGTATATCGCATCCTGCGGCTGGCTGACATTGCTGATCCGAACGTGCACGCGGTGCAGGCGCCTGCTAGCAAGACCTCAGTATCGTACCAGCATCTGAAGAAAGTAATAACGGTTGATGGTTTAGTGTATTGCAGGTTAATGCGCCCGTTGATCAATGTTGCAGGCAAGGCTTCGTGAAACCATACTGCAAGCCGCGATCCCAGTGGGCTGCGCTGCCAGTTGAGTTGGCATGTCGATGTTTTGAGAGCTTCAGAATGTACCCTGAATCTTCAATGTAGGGGCCTAAATTTTAAATGATTAGAATAGGGTTTTGGCGTATGTTATACTATAGTGCTATAAGATAGCAAGAAGCCACGAAAAGTGTATTGATAATCATTTCGGCCCCTGCAGTTCCCAAGGCCCAAGACTCCCCCCGGAAACCCTAAACCCCCAAAAACCCCACACCCCCAAACCCTAAACTTACCGTTGGTTAGTAGGGAATGGAGGAATGGGGTACAATTATAAGTACAATTACTACCATGCTTCCATTCCCTACTAACCAAAGGTAAGTAAACCAAAACCCAAGACCTTAAACGGCTCTAAACCGCCCTAAACCCTAAACCCAAAACCCTCAACCCCTAAACCCTAGACTCTAAAACCCAAAACCCTCAACCCTATACCCAAAAGGCCCTAAACCGCCAACTTTGCAGAACCACGAAATTCTCGAGGTCGACTCGAGCCTGATCCGAGAATGGGAAGCGTTGAAGGACATGGAGAAGAAGGCCAGGGTTGAGGGTTTAGGGTTTAGATGGGACTTAGTAACTAAGGGTTATGATTAGGGTAACTATACTTATAACTACTTTTAACCCCAATTTTAACCCCAATCAAGGTTGAGGGTTTACTTGGAGGGTCGGGGGACTTACTGTTGATGGACAAAATCCTACATGACCTTAAGGACCCTAGACTATGGGAATTGTGGTATATTCCTTATAATGGGTAATGCAGGATTTTGTCCATCAGCAGTAGTAAGTGGTTATTTTAGGGACTTATAAGTACCATAACCCCAATTAGGGTCCCTTTTAGGGTACTTATAAGTCTACTTACTACCTACTTGCTAAGTCCCCCCCCCCACGCTCCAAGTAGGGTTTAGGCCAGGCTTGGAGTTTAGGGTCAGGGGCCAGTCGCAGTGTTTTTTTTGTGTGGGTTTAGGGTTTAGGGTTTAGGGTTTAGGGTTTAGGGAATCCAAAGTCCTGAACCTTGAGCCCCGTACCAAACCTCAACTGTGCCACGTTGGCCACTTAAAGGATCATGGGACTTAGTAACTAGGGTTATGATTAGGGTAACTATACTTATCACTACTTATAACCCCAATCAAGGTACCTATAACCTTACTTACTAAGTCCCATGATCCTCCAAGAAGCAGCGCCTCCGCTCCGGAGTTGTTGAGCCAACTTGCGCAGGCTGCCAAAGAACAGCAGGAGGCGGTCCTGGCTGCAGCCGTATCAGGACCCGGTTCACAACGTCTAGGGGCTCTCCAGTAGTACCCTTTTGCAATTTTTTCTTCTTGGGTTCCCTTTATAAAAAGCCAAAAAGGTAGGAAAAAGGGCACCCTTAATATTAAGGGGCTACTGGTGAACCTAGACATCATGGTTCACATGCGCAGGCTGTAGGTTCGCCGGGCTAGGCTCCAAAGTATCCAGATGGCCACAATGAAACAATGAAAAGCCGACTGACGACCGAGACCTGCAGTTAGGGTTTAGGGTCTAGGAGTTTAATTGGGGGGCGGTAGGGTCTAGGTTAGGAGGGGCCCCCACCCTGTAATAGTGAGTATAAGGATTATATTAGGGCCCTATTCTTTATTTCTATTTTACCACTATTACAGGGTGGGGGTCCCTTCTAAGGTCTAGGTTTTGAAGGGCTTGTAGGCTTGGCGCTTCTTGGGGGGTTTTATATTTTGGCTTGAAGGTAGGGTTTGGGGGTTGATTTGGGTCTTTGCAAGTACGGCTCTCAATGAGGGTACGGTTGATGATATAAATCCTGCATTACCCATAATAAGGAATCTACCATAATTCCCATAGTTGAGGGTCCTTAAGGTAGTGCAGGATTTATATCATCAACAGTATGAGGGCTCTTTAAGAGTCTTATGATCGTTTGCATCAAGTTTCCCTTGTAATTCTATTACTGGGCAGCGTTGATTTCGGTGGAAGGTTCAATCCTGACCTGAAGTCCGAATGCCTTTTAAATCTAGGTCGGCCTTTGGGATACTTTATGTTTCACTTATTGGGCTTAATAGGACCCTATTTACGATTTTTTTCAGAGGCTTTAAAGGGCCAACCTAGAAATTTTGACCCCAGGGCTTACATACAGAAAGCCCTAAAGCCTTAAAGCCTTAAACCCCAGAGCCAGGATTAGCGTTTTGTGTCGAAGCTTTTTGGTTCACGGCTCGCGGGTTCAGGGTTTAGGGTTTGGGATCTGTAAGAACTCAAGCCCTACACCCTGAACCTTAAACTTCAACCCTAAACAGTGAGCCCCAAACCCTGAACTCTGAGCCCTAAACCCCGAACCATAAACCCAGAGACTGCAATATCCCTTTATTAAGGAATATACCTTAATCTATAGTAGGATCCCTAATATGATTTAAGGTATATGCCTTAATTAAGGCATATTGGAGTCTCTGGGAATGCGGAACCCCCGAACCAGTTTTCTAGATGAGTAGGAGTATCTTATATAGTATAGTATATGTAGTATATAGTATATAGTATATGATTAGAAGCCTGTTTTCACGGAGGAGCACCGGAGGGCACAGAGGCGGAGGAGGAAAAACGATCGGGCCCCAGCCGATCTTCCACCTATTTGGAGCGGGGTCAAGAGTCTTGAAGGTTTTTTTGAGTTCAGAGTCTTGGGGTTTTTGAGTTCAGAGTTTTGGAGGTTTTGAGTTCAGAGTTTTGGAGTTTTAGAGTTCAGAGTCTTGGGGTTTGAAGTGCAGGGGTCGTGGTAGTTGCAGTAGTAGAACGTACCGACCAAATGAGAATCTCCAGCTCTGTAGCGGTGATGGTGGTGGTGGTAGTTGGGGTTGTGGTAGTGGTGGTGGTGGTGGTGGTGGTGGCGCGGTGGTGGCGAGGGTGGCGGCGGTGGTGGTGGTGGTGGCGTTGTTGGTGGCGGCGGTGGCGGTGGTGCTGCTGGTGCTGGTGCTGGTGCTGGTGGTGGTGGTGCTGCTGCTGCTGGTGGTGGTGGTTATCGTCGTCCAGCTCATGTTCGTCGTCGTCGTGACACTAAGCCCAATAGGCGAGTGTTGAAATTTCACCTCAAAACCTCCGTGGCCAAATCGATGACCTGCAAGCAGTTTTAAAAGCTGCCTGCTGAGTCGTTGGCGGTGCAATGGTGCCAGCTGCGAGGAGGGCCCTGCTGCGAGAATAATTACCAATACTATTTTGGAGGTTCCTTATTGTAATTATAATATTATGGGCCAGCGCGAGAGTTGCGTCCTGGTGGACAGCTTCGGTAGATCTCGAAATTTCTCCCAACACTCTATTCTACGCATCACTGACACCTTCGCTCTGGATTCTTGTATATTCACCTAGTCTTCAGGAGTTCCGCCCCGCGGCGCACGGCGGAAGAGCTCCGGGCCCGCGCAAGGGAGCCGAGATTTTTGAGCGCATGAATTCGAGGAAATTCGGGGTTTAGGGTGTGGGGTTTAGAGTTTAGGGTATGGGGTTTAGGGTTCAGGGTATAGAGTTTAGGTTTAATTAGGGTTCAGGATATAGACTATCAGAGTTTAGATACAGTATAGATGTTACGCTCCGGAACAGAAGCTGTGGTGTAAGGTAGAGGGTTGCAGTGGGGAAGAGCGAGGAAAATCGGAGGTTGGCTGCAGCTTTCAAAACGGATTGAGGCGCCGTTCAGGCATTAATATAGGAGCTTTCATAACTAGAATAAGCTTTTTGGGTGTATTTCATATTATAATTACAATGTATAAGGAACCCCCCACAATAATTATTAAGGCCCCTATATTACAGGCTTTCCGGCAACCTCCCAAGGGGCGAGCCGGTCTCAAAGTTTGAAGCTTCATGCAGTACTTCAGCTCTGCGGGATGAAGTGTTTTAGGGGTTTTGGGGTTTCAGGGTTTAGGGATTTAGGGTTTAGGATTTTGGGGGTTTAGGGGTTTAGGGTTTAGGGATTTAGGGTTTAGGGTTTTGGGGGTTTTGGGGGTTGGGTTTTGGGGGTTTTGGGGGTTTAGGGGGTTTAGGGGTTTAGGGTTTAGGGGTTTAGGGTTTTGGGGGTTTATGGGGTTTAGGGTTTTAGGGGTTTAGGGTTTTGGGGTTTTAGGTTTTAGCGGTTAAGGGGTTTAGGGTTTTTAAGCTACGGGTCGCGATAAGGGTTGGCCTTCAAATAGATCCTTCATGGTGGGTGTTTGGGGGTATATTAGAGTGTAGTTGGGGGATCTGGGTGGGAACTTGGGGTTATGGGGTTTGGGTCACGTTTGTCTTTCCAACCGACAAATGCCGAAGCCAAGTTCAACAATCGAGCCCAGTACCTCGCAAGCGCACCATCTCAAACCCAAGCCCAAAGGCCCAAAAGGGGCTTTGGGTTTGAGGTTTAGGGACACGGCAGGGTATCAAAGAATAATACAACTATACGCATAAGCACAAGTAGTGCGAGTCAAAGCAGCAAAGGCGACGACCAGCAACGCTTATGCTGTGTAGTTTGCTCACCTCTACACTCACAGGGGAAAAGGAGGGACCCTTAATGGGGACTCCTACCCCATAATGGGCTATATAATGGGTATATAATCGCTATATTGAAGAGGGGTCCTTATTAAGGGTCCTTGTCCCCCAGCCTGCCTTCAGACGCAGCCTGACACCAAACTCCCCAGAAAGCAAGCAGAAGCCAGTACGCAAAACCCGATCCCGAGAATCCGAGAGACACCACCATCCCTTTTTTTAAAGGAAGATACCTCAAATTATATTAGCGATCCTACTACAATGTAAGCTGTACTCTTAAATTATTAGGGATATCGGAATCCACTAAACCCTAAGCAATCGAGACCCCTTATAGGATCCCTTAAAAGGAACCCTAACCCTAGGTATTCCTTAATTTAGGTATGCTCCTTAATTAAGGGATATTGGAGTCTCTTCTTGGAGGTTCATGGGTAGTTATAAGTGGAGTTGTAAGTCCCTTAATACGGATTATCACTATTGTTACCCTACTTATAAGCCCAGTTATAGCTACCCATGAACCCTACCCTAAACCCAAACCCCTAAACCCTAAACCCTAGACCCCAAACCCTAAACCTCCAAGTTGGAATCCGAGAGACACACCCAGGCCAAGGAGGTTCAGCAGAGCCTCGCCTTGCGCCACGCGCAAGCGGAGGATCGGTGTGGGTCTAGATTTAGGGTTTAGGGTTTAGGGATGATATAAATCCTGCATGCCCCATAATAACGAATATACCATAGTTCCCATAGTTTCGGGTCCTGAAGGTCATGCAGGATTTATATCATCAACCCTAAACCCTAAAACGCTACAGATCCCTTAAAGGAAGCCCTTAAAGGTACCCCTTAATAGATCCCTTTAAAGGAACCCTAGGGATTCATATCATCCACCGTAGTACCCAGCTTATGCGAGGGCCCAAGTCACCTGCAGCCTGCTATCGGAGCCGATTTTGCTCCATCGCGCGGTCGCTTCCTTGGGTCAAAGGGGAAAGGAGGGACCCTTAATGGGGACCCCTACCCTACAATGGGCTATATAATGGGTATATTAAGGGTATAAACCCTAAACCGCCAGTCTGCAGGTGTTACAGTGCATAGGGCTGAGGATCGTGCAGCCAAGGCTTTATGCATGCGGTTACGGCTTGTGCGGATCTAGCCTTTGTCATGAAGCCCTACACCGCAGGCCGTAAATCACAGGAAAAGTCCTAAGGCAAGATGCCCTAAGATGATCCCTAAGCCATCGACTTCTACCCCCCTAAGCACAGGACCCTAAAGCCCTAAAGTTTCCAAAGCGGCCCCTAAACCCGAAATGCTAAACCCGCAACCCTAAACTCCAGACTTAAACCCGAAACCCTGAACCCCAGATCCTTTAAAACAAAGAAGCCCTAACGCGCCCGATCTGTAAGCCATGGACGCGCCACCTTCGAAGATGGCGGTGATGGCCGCGCCATCGGCTGCTGCAACTTAGCCGGGTTTAGGGTTTAGGGTTTCCGGGTTTAGGCTTGGGGTTCAGCGTTTCGAGGTTTCGGGTTTAGGGGTTTAGGGTTTCGGGATTTAAGGGGGTTTAGAGGGTTGGGGGTTTAGGGTTTGCGGGGCGGGTTAGGGTAAAGATCTAAGGGTGTGGGGTTCAGGGTGATCTGGCCGGCAGGGTAATCGTGTGCTCGCTTGTGGGAAGTTGTTTCTTTGATATGGTTCAGGGACTCGGAATCCTCACAATTGTTTTATTGCTCTTTGTACGTATGTCTACCGACCTTTACTGTTGCTTGGCTCAAGACAAAAAGTGTGTGTGCGATTCGTGCTATCGTGCACTATCTATAGGTTATCAGCCGTAGCCTAGTCGAGCCATATCCTTTTCCAGGTCGCTCCTGAAATCCTGCAGGTAACACCGGAATGGAGGACACAGCCGAGCCAGTGCCAACGGGTATCTCAGATATGACATTGGCAACTGATGAAGCAAGTGATCAAGGATTTCCTCCATTAATGCCAACAGGTGATAGTCATTTGCCGAATGACGGACTGGCAATCATGTCACATGATGCAGCGCACTCTCCGATTGATTCGTTGCTTAGGGAACGTGTCCCTACTACGCCAGTATCTATTGCACCTGTTACTCCGGTAGGAATACCTGGACCATTGGCTCATGCTACGGGCGTGCCCAGCCCATCAACACCAATCTATTCACCTCACTATCATCAAGCAAGCCTCACCCAGAACCTTCAGGTTGTCGATGCCAGGCAGTTGACGATTAATCAGGATGCATCTCCGATGGTCGCCTTTGCCGCCGAGGCACGACACAATCAGATTATCGGCGAATTGGGAGCAGAACATCAGGAGCAGCTCCGTGCAATGTACAATAGTGGGCTTGCAGAGGTGAACAAGTTGAGGAACGAATTAGGCAATGCTAACATTGCGTTGTCGATTCAGAGGTCTGAAATGGGTCAAGGTGAAGTTCGTTTCCAACAAACCGAAAGCGCGAGGGAACTCGCTGTCATTGAAGCCAACCGGCAAGCGGAAGCTGCCCGTAGAGCTTTAGAGGAAGCTAACAGCAATGCCAGGCGCCTTCGCGAAGTGGAAACTTCTGCCCGTCAGAATGATGCAATGCGATCCCATGAGGTCGCTGACATGTCATCTCGGATGGATGAACTGATGAGGCAGCTTCACGCCCAGCGTCAGCAGACAGAGGTATTGATTCAGCAGAATAGTGCATTAAGCTCCAGGGTTCGAGATTTCGAAGCTAGAGATGCTGCTTTGAGGATTCAAGAGGGAATTCCACAAGGGCCTCCACCCGGCATTCCCGTGCATCCCATTTCCACCCCGAAGCATGGAGGTGACACTCCTACGGAACAGGCGACGGACGCCGGGAGGCGAACCCCTCCAGATGGCTCCAGCCCAGGTGGCGGTGGTGGTGGCGGCGGACCTGATGGCAACGGCCCCAGCGGAGGCGATGATGATCATGATCGTCGCAGTCGGAAGTCCAAGAAGGATAAGAAGCATAAGAAGAAGAAGTCGCGCAGGCGACGTAGGCGAGATCCTTCGTCTTCCCCTTCTAGCTCTAGCAGTAGCTCCGGTGATTCGAGTTCTTCATCATCCCGCATTGATAGGAAGACCATGAAGAAGCTCCTTAAGCGGATGAGTGAAGCTGTTGGTGACCGTGGTGAAAAGCCCGAGAAAGACGACAAGCCCAAAGTGAAAGAAGCTGAGAAGATTACCTTCCCCAAGTTCCCGCAACCTGAGAGCTACAGGAATTGGAGGCTAAGGGTTCGTGAAGCGGTCGTTGCCGCATCCGATCGTCCCGATGATGCCTTTTCGTGGCTTTCCAAGGTTTGGGAGAAAGATGTCAAGGAAGAAGATCTTCACGACCCGGAAGGGTTCGTCACTTTGGATGCTAAGGTACTGTCGGCGGTCACTAAGATCCTGGAAGGTGCCTTTGCGAGACAGGTTGATACCTTCAAGGAGCGGGAGGCAAATGCCGGGAGACTTGTTCGGGGACGACAAGTGCTTTTCAAGTTGGATAATTTCTTTTCTACCAACGCACAGCATGGTTCAGTTTACGAGTTTGAGGACCTCTTGTCAGTCAAGATGGTCAACGAGAAGCTTGAGACTTTCATGCACAACTGGGAAACTGTATTGTCAGGGATCCAGACTACCCCCGATGAGAACTTCCTTGAGCCCTTGTTCCATAGGCAGATTAAGCGCTTCAAAGACCTCGCACATGATATCAACATCTATGAAAGGGCAACACCAGGGCAGCCAGAGAAGATCTACAAGTTTTTGTATGACGCGGCTACGAACTACTTGAGTCGCAAGCGTCTTGAACGCAACCGGGAACGGATTGCCAAGCAATATGGTGCTGATGGGAAACCATCTGCCCCCGCTCCCAAGAAGAAATTCGTCCCTAAGGGATTTTGTTTCGAGTTCGTACAGAACGGTAAGTGTAGCAAAGGAGACAAATGCAAGTACAAGCATGAGATCCCTGAGAAGAGAGGCCGGTCGCATTCAAGAGGTGGAGGTCGCGCTCAGTCACCGTCTGGCAACGACGGAAAACCCAGAGAATGCAAGTTCTGGAAGAGTGGGCGATGCAAGAAAGGAAGTGCATGTACGTTCCTCCACACAGGCAAGCCAAGCGCTGCTGCGGCGTCACAAGGCGGCTCTCAGGGGGGAAGACCAGGAAGCGCAGGCAGCAAAGGGAAAGAAAAGAAGGAGAAGAAGGGCCATCGCAAATCGCGGTCCAACTCGAAGGGCTCTCAGGGGTCGAAGAACTCTAAGGGCAGCAAGGGTTCGGACAAGCGAAAGGGTCCAAAATCACCAAAAGTTCCCGCTGCGGTCTGCATCCTAGGGGCATTGATCGCCGCGGCATCGGGTACCCAAGCCGACGCTGCTTATGCATTCCGGAAGGATATGCCCGATAGTCGTGGTGACATGTCAACTACCTTTTCATGTGCGTTGCCAGCTATTCGTTTCGACGATAATCCGATGCTCATCAACATCCCACCTGACGGAAAGATGTTGCCGACAGAACCCGAGACACGGAGGTACTTGAAGTCCTTCGGTGGGGAACCTCCTAGACCTAGTCAACAGGACGTCAAAGATGCACTGACGACTGCCAGGATGCTTAAAGCAACTCTGGATGCATATGGTTCCGGGATAAGGGCTAAGTGTGGTTATGAGTGTGACACGGAATTCGGTTGCGACAAGTGCATTCCGAAACACATTGAAGCTACCTGTGTTGCAGCTACCAAAGCGGAAGCCCAGCAGCTCGACATTGAGTGGATCGCGGATACCGGCAGCGCCCAGGACCTGGTTTCACAGGGGGATCTCGGATCTTTGAGAAGCCATCGTTCCCAAAATCCTATCGGTATTGTGACGGCTAATGGGCCTAGCACTGCTGAGATTCAGTCCAACATCGCAGTTCCTTCACTTGGAATAGACAGCCATCCATACGTGTTGCCTAGCACACCCTCTGTTCTATCCGTTGGTTACAGATGCATGGAAGAGGGATTCGATTTCGTTTGGAGATCGGGTACAAGACCTTACTTTCAGTCATCTAGCGGTGAGCGGATATATATGGATGTGAAGGATTACGTCCCCTACCTCAAATCGTGGAAGGAAGGTGTGGCGGTACCTGCGAGGCGGAAGCCCCAGCCCGATGAGGACCATAAGAATGATTTGGTTCTTTCGCTTGAAGAGGCTGAGGGATATGCAAGGGAACTTCGGATCAACGGCGACTTTCGTCTGGGATCGTGTTACAAACTTTTGAAATTGACACCATTCAAGTCTACAGGGAATTCGAGGAGAATGAAAGCTACTGAAAATGACGACTCGGTTGAAGATGAAGTTGGCAGGGACTACATAATCATCGGCGCTTGGATTTTTAGCGGTATGACTGGAATCACAACTTCTGTAGACCGTCATGCTCAGCTGACCAAGTACCTGATCGCCTTCATGAAGTCAAGAGGGTTGAAAGATACCTTTACGTCCATCTGCATCAACCATGGTGGCAATCGCCGGGTGCATCGAGACTTGTTGAATCATGATGACTCGCTCAATCACACTCTAGGCGTTGGAAGCTATCATGGTGGTTCCGTATGGGTTGAGCGGAAGGACGACACTCCCGTATTTCGCAGAGAAGGTGTAGCTGGTGGGAAATCAAAGTGCGTCAAGGTTACGGGGGGACTCGAAGTCAATGGAAGAGTATACGACACTCATGATCGAATGTTATCCTTCCACCCCAAGCTTTGGCATCAGGCACAGCCTTGGACAGGTGATCGATGGACCATCACTGCATACACGATTCGGGATGTAGACGGTTTGAGCTGGGAAAAGTCAAAGTCGCTAATGTCGCTTGGGTTTCAGTTGAATTCATCAAGACGGTTACCATTTGTTCCATCATTGATTACCGGCGACAGCGATGAAGAGCTCACACTTTACGACTTTGTGAAGAAGAAGAAGAAAGCCGAAGCCGAGAAAGATAAGGTTCCTGAACCAGCTCCTCCTCTGATGAAGAGTAAGGCCAAGTCTAAGCCCAGCAAGCCTGATGCCGGGCGGAAGCCTGAGCCCGAGCCTGAAAAGGGTGCAGACATGTCTGATCTTTTTGATATTGAGGAGCATTTCGATGAAGCCGGGGAGTTGAAAAGTGCCGAGGATCAGCCACCTCCTCCTCCTGTTCCTGCTGAGGCAGATAAGCGTTCGAAGGGAGAGAAGGTTTTACGTGAAGAAGCTAAGAGCAAACATCATCTGATGACACACGTCCCAAACAACCCCTTTTGCCCTACATGCCAAAGAGCGAAGATGTTCAAGCCGCCTTCGTATCAAACGAATGGTTCCAGGTTCATTGAGTCTGAGAAATTCGGCGACCATCTCACTGGGGATCATCTCATTGTCTATCGCGACAACGAAGAAGAGATTAAGGATTCGCGATTAGCTTTGGTTATGAAGGACGTGGCAACGGGTTTCCTCGCGGCCTATCCCTCCGGACGGAAGTCTCAGGACGAGTGCTATAAGGCGCTCAACCACTTTGTTGCTAACAATGAAGATGTTGGCATCTTCTACAGTGACAATGCTCCTGAAATTAATGGGGCAGTAGAAGAAATGGGCTGGAAGCATGAACATTCTAAGGCCTATGTCCATCAGTCCAATGCCATGGCTGAGCGTGCGATCAGGACTGTTACGGAAGACACCAGAGCGAATCTGGAGCAAGCCGGTCTGGCTCAGGCTTATTGGCCCCATGCCTTACAACATGCTTGTGTTGCCCATAACATAAGCCATCCCAATGGTGCGAAGTACTCTTCATGGACTTTGCGGTTCGGCAAGGACTTTCATGGGCCGTTGATTCCATTTGGTTGCCGAGTAGACTACTGGGTCGGTACTCGAGAACAGCGGAAGCTGCAAGGGTACGAAAGATTTGAGAGTTCATCAGAACATGGGATCTTCATGGGTTACCACTTCCAACCAGGAATGCGTTGGCGTGAAGAGATGTTGGTAATTCCGATATCCAAGCTGAATGGAAGTGACTTCTACGAGTACTACAAGCCTAGTAAGGTGCATCAATTGAAAGTGCCTGACGGTGAGTTCACTTTCCCCATGGTCGAACGTTATAACCGTGTCCGAGACGGGCTAGCGCATGACGCCATCGAAAAGCCTGTCGTTGAATCTCTGAGAAATCAGGATGCGGAACCAGTCGTAGATCCTCCTGGGGACGGTGAGGCTGAAGTAGAAGTACCTAAAGTTATTGATCCCAAATCAGGTGACCTCGTTGAGTTGCCCGAAGGCGGACGATTCTATGACTCCAGTGGAACTCTTGGTAGGAGATATGGAGGGTCCAGAGGTTCAAAGAAGCCGGATAGCATTCCTTCTCATATATGGGTCAATTTGTCCAAGAGGCAGAAAGATAAGGCGATAGCGGAAGAAGCATCGAAAATCGCTAGGGAATATCATGAAGGTGCCGATCGGGCAGGTGGCGGATCATCGAGTTCAAGGCCTGCTGCGACGCTTGGTGCGTCCCGAGATCGATGGGAGATCAAGGGAAACAAGTTAGTGCGGTATCATTGTGTTCCTAGACGAGAACTTTTCTCTCCTGATATCACCGATTGTCCTATTCCCACTTCTAGGATAAAGCCGACAAGGATCTTGCAGATCATCCCCGTGGGAACGGAGGACACTGTTGCTGATGAAGATGATTGGACAAACCCGCGAAGAAGGAACAAGAAATTGCCTTTTAGATGGACCGGCAAAACCATCTTTGAGATCCTACCCTTGGGTACTAGCAGTGCTCATATCGTGGGGGAACCCTATCCGACTATGCCAACGATCCCACGTAGTGGGGAACATCGCGAAAAGATTGGTAATGACCATCAATTCACCCAATCTGAGCTGGAAGTTATGATGGCCTTAGTGGCTCGTCCGGTTGGCAAGAAGGAGCTCGCGGAGAACAATGACGCCCAGAAATCACTTGACGTGGAATGGGATAAGTTGATGCAAAAGCGAGCATGGGATATGGATAACCCACGGGAGTGGTCTGAGATCTCGGCGGAAGCCGTCAGACGGGGTCGCAAGGCCCATGTTGGACGTGTTTTCGAAATCTGTGTAGAAAAAGGGAGCGAACTCCCCAAAGGAAATCCCCTGAGGAAATCCAAAGGCCGTACGGTCTTCCAGGGTAATAATGTCCAGGACGAAAGCAGCAACGCCGCCCTGTTCTCGGAGTTAGGTTCGAGCCCTGCTTCGATGGAGGCGGGCAAGGTGCTGGATACGTACGGATCTCAGCCAGGTTTCGCCTGTGAACAGGCCGACGGTAAGCAAGCTTACACTCAGACGACTTTGAAAGGCGCTGAAACTTGGGTTCGATTACCACGGGAGCGGTGGCCTAAGTCCTGGGTTGGCAAGTTCAAGGATCCAGTAGTTCGGCTTTTCCTTGCGCTGTACGGACACCCTGATTCGGGGGGCTTCTGGGAGAAGCATTGTGAGCAGAGACTCAAGCAAGTGGGTTTTGATCTTCTGTTTCCCTCTTCGTGGCCTTCGGTTTTCTTTCATCCTAAGCTTCGCCTACTCTTAGCCGTCTACGTTGATGATTTCAAGATGGCTGGACCTGTTGAGAATATGCAGGAAGGGTGGAAGCTGATCGGGTCCAAGATCGATATGGATAGCCCGACTCCACTTGGAAGATACCTTGGGTGTGAACATGTAGAGAAGAAGAAAGTTCAACTGGGAACAGCTGACCATCCCTTTGCCCACATCTTTGATAAGAGTATTCCTGACCCCGCGGCCAAACCTTCGGTTCCGGCTACGTCCCAGGATTATACGGAGTACTTTCCTGATGAAGGTGTTATTGTTCGCCATCATATGCAGCCTCGCAAAGCCAAGTATGCTGTTAGCGCTGCGGAAGCAGACGTCTTGAACATCGGCGACCTGCGGTTGACCGAACGTCAGCTTCTTGGAAGTACTTCTGCAGAAGAACAATGGGATGATGGTTTCCGGGGGGGTAAGGCTTCGGGACTTTGGACGGGAACCACTTACTTGTTTGATCGTGGTATTGATAAGCATCATGCCGTGGCTGCTGTTAAGCGCATTCGTGACAAGAACACAGCTAAAAAGGAAGCTAGGAAACAGGCTTTCTATGACATCAGCCAATTGTCGAGTGGCACCGGATGCATGAAACAACCCGTCAACATCATCGAGTATGACATGAAGTCTTTTCTTGAACAAGCTGTACAAAAGTACAAAGACCTTGCTGGCCCCAAGTATCACACTCTCAAGTCAGCCTCTACTCCTTTCGCCGACGAGAAGATCGCGAGGCCCATCGACGATGAGGCCGAGGCAAAGGGTGAATTGGCTCCTATCGCTAGCCGAGTTCTGATGAAACTTTTGTTTGCTGCCAGGATGGCTCGTTATGATCTTTTACGGGCTGTTCAGGGATTGGCAAGCAGAGTCACCAAGTGGTCTGCTGAATGCGACCGGGCTTTACACCGATTGATGTGTTATGTGAATTCCACCCTAGACTTGAAGTTGAGGGGATTCATCGGTGACCCGATTGACCAGTGCAAAATATGGTTGTTTGCTGATGCAGATCATGCAGGTGAGCATGATAACAAGAGTACATCAGGATGCTTCGAGGCTTTGGTCGGACCAAACACGTACTTTCCTTTGGCGGCTTACAGCAAGAAGCAAACCTCAATTTCTATTAGTTCTACCGAGTCCGAGGTCGTATGCGCCAATATTGCTTTGAGGACTGTTGGTTTGCCATCCTCCGCTTTATGGAGTGTGCTCCTGAAGGCAGGGGGGGTTCAGACGCATCAAAGCCGAGCGCACCCCGGAAGGGAGATGCCTGTTTGGTCAAATTCCCAGATCAGGATGTTGCCTCTCAGGTACCGAAGACTGGTAGACATGAACTTATTGATTGTCGAGTAGCTGTTCTTTCAGGCGGTGACAGTATCCCTGAACCCGTTGAGCTCGCATCCCACCCTCTTCGAGATGTATGGTTGCTCCGGGGGGACAAATGGTCCAGAACAGAAGAAGCTGTCGCTTGGGAAGAGCTCGAGAATGCCTCCTATATGGTTCCGAAGGATGCTAAAGCCATCTTGTGCCTGTACCGGAAGTCATCATTGGAGTATCGTCGCTCTGCGGAAGCAGAAGCCGAATTGAATTATGAGGCTTACAAGCTCCGTCATGGACTTGGCGACTTCGAGTACACCGATGATGCAAAGATCAGATCCGATCATTCATTGATCATGGCTGCACCACATTGCATGCAACCTGTGATGTTAGAAGATAACCAGGCCACTATTAGGATCATGGAGTCCGGAAGGTCACCGGCATTTAGGCACACAGACAAAACCCAAAGAATCAATCTCGGATGGGTATCGGAACAGTTCAGAAGGAAGCATTATGATCTCGCGTACATTAGTACCTTGCTGCAGTCTGCCGACATTTTGACTAAGCCATTTACCAACATTGACAAATGGAAGAGAGCGGTTTTCCTCATTGGCCATGTCTATGTCAAACCATCAAGGCCTGCTTCGCCAATCGTCGTGCCGGACAACCTCGAGAAGAGGATCGAGCCCGAGAACAACGGGGTTCTCATCGAATGGGGACATGATCCGTCGTTCTCTCTGCTCGGAAGGGCAGACGATAGTGGTAGCGGTAGCCCATCTGTCGTTCGGGTCACTCATAGCATGGACCTTAACAGTACTCAGACGAGTAGGGACTTGCTCAAGGTCGTCAAAGGCTATGCCAAGTCGAATGTTCCCATTACCGTTTGGGTTGACCTGCGCTTTGCGGGGGGTCCTGATGATCGCAAACACTTTGGCAAGCTATGGTCTTCTTTCGTCAACTTAAGCACCGGATTGGATTTGAATAACTGCCATTACGTCGTTATTGCTCCCTGGGATCATTTCTCATGGAAGATGGATCGAGTTGTCAGGTGGTGTTCCAATCATGAGTGTACGAGTTTTGAACTTCTTGATGGCGAAAGATCAGGCAATTTAGGTCATTGGAGATTGCATACTTCCTACAAGAATTTGCCAATTGAAGTGATGAACTATTTTCATGGCTGTAAGCTCAAGAACATTTCAGAGCCACAATTTCCTGTTCGACAAGCTGCTGTTGCGGTACAAGTTACTCTGAGCGAAGATCCAATAGGAAGCGCAGCAGTGATGGCATCCTCTTTGCCCACCGTTTCTCTGGAGGAGCGTCGCCGACGCATCGAGGCTTTCCGCAGGGCTCTTAAGGACCCTGATTGCCTCGCGGAAGCGATGGCCTTTGAGGAACCGGCATATTTTAAGGATGCCTATGGCGTTGTGAAGGAGGCGTACCAGTACAAGCTGGTGGAGCCTGCGGAGTCTGATCCGCCAGAGGCCATTTTCCTCGGCCGTATCCGAAACGGCGAGTGGATTGGTCTGCGGAAGCAGTACCCCTACGCAGGTTTTCCCCTCCTGTACGAGATGTGGCACCGCCATTTCAACAGCCCGGCTCATCAGGGAATGCCGATTGAGGGCTTCGAGCTCCATGGCGATTCCCTCCTGACGGAGTGGACAGAACTTGTCAAAGCTTATCTCCGCGACCTGGCTTATGTGGGGCATGCCACAAACGCCGAACGGGCTCTCAAGGCCACTGAGCCGTTTGATGTCTGTCACAGAGCGTATGTGCTATCCCAGGAAACCCTGGGCTACCACGAGTTAATGCCAGCTGCCACGGCGTTGTTAGACTCGGTGTATACTCCAGCCCTCCGAAGAATCGAGCATCAAGAGCAACCAAGCTCGTATTTTATTATCGGAGGAGATAGCTCTCTCGCGTTGGTGACCCGCGGCGACGGTGGACGCGTCCTGATGAAGGGGACGATGGAACCGTCACTCCGGGAGGAGATGACCAAGGACATCCGCATGGATGGATGTTCGGTCGTCATGCGCTGGGGGAAAGGACTTGGAGACATCGTGTGGCACGTGGAACAAGAGCTCAACCGAGTCCAGAAGTGGAAGAACGGCCAGGAACCGCTCGCACCGGAAGGTGTCGACATTATCATTCAATGGGGTGGTAATGACGTCTATGGCGAGTATGGTTACAAAGGCTTTTCCTTCCACATGCGCAATGCGTGGGTTCGTGTTGATGATGCATTGCATGACACACTTTCCAATTGGGAGACCAAGGGACGCAAGGCCGTCGAGGACCCAAAAGATGCCCTGGTCCGTCTCTCATCCCGGAAGGGAGTGTCCTCTGTCACGTTGGTGGCTGGCCCCCACAATGGGGAATTCTATGGTCTCCCGGAGGTCTATGACCTGGAGATGGCACGCCATTCCGATGAGTTGAAGGAGCGAGGGATCCGCATCGTTGATCCCCAGGCTCACATCCTTACGACAGAGCGTTACGATGGGTTTCACATGGAGGCTACCCACGACAATGTGAAGGTAACCACCCGCTGGTTCTTTCACCTTTGCTCTGCAATCATGTTCGAGCGGTGGCTTGTGAAGCACGCGATGGAACTTAAGGCCAATTCGCGTGGTATCCTCTTTCACAACCACTTTCACCTCGGACTCGGCTTGGAAGAGCTCGACATCCCTCCTACCACGGACTTGCTCATTCCGGCGGAAGCTGAGATGGTGACTTTCCCACCTGAGGCACCGCCCGTGCAACGTTTCCCAGAGGAGGAGATTGTCTTGAACCAGCCGATCTTCAGCTTGGAAAAGCTTGACGAGCTTGAGGGTGTACCGCCCACTGACTATGTCAATGAAGTGGCAAAAGAATCAGAGGAGCTCACGGTTGAGGACGTAGTGTCTCGTAACCCGAATCCGGAGGACGAGCACCTCACCGTGGAAGCGGTTGACCCCGGCTCGGAGATGGAACAAATCGTTCGAAAAATGATTGAGTCGGTGAACCTGGTGATGACGGATAAGGAGGCTGAAGAGGTCGCCCAGGAGACGGGTGTTGCTCCATACGAGTTTGTTGAGCCGAATGTCACAGCTACATCTGTCGTGGATGGTGAGGCAGTCTCTACGATTGCTACTTCCGACATCCCGACGGAAGTCTTGGACTCTGGTCCGATGGCTGTGGACTACGGCGCAGACGACGAAGTGGAGCATCCCCGCGGAAGTGGTGGACCCATCTGGCTTACACCGGATCAGCTACCTGATGTCAAGGGTCGCATGGGATACTTTCGCCTCAATGAGATGGAGTGTGTTTCGTTGGGCAAAAAGCTGTCGTGGCACCTGCGTGGGCATGCCAAGGACAAGGGGTTCCGCACTGTTGAGTTCGACGAAGAGCAGTCAGCAGAGATTGGTGATGTCTTGAAGGTCATTGGGAAACAGTGGTCCCGCCTGACGGTGATGACCATTATTGACCTGTTGACATCCGATCACTGTGACAAAGCACGGTTCGAACTCCAGGCGGAAGCCTTGGACGAGGAGACACGGTTGGGCCGGGGAACAAACTGGCACTTTACCCGTGTCCGAGCATTCCAAGGACACAACGCCTGCTTGCTCGTCCTCGGCAGTGACCCGCTGAAGACCACTGTCAAACAGTGGGCCCTCGATGACCAATGGATCCCGTCCTATGTTGATCTACCGATCACGGGTCCATATCCTTATCGGGCAACGGCCTTCGATCTGATGCCAAAGCTGGCGTACCACGCCACATACTGGCGAAATTTCATCAAGATCGTCAACACAGGCCTCATCCCGGGAGGGAAAATGACCTCGAAGGGCAACAGCGGGAGGCCCTTCAACATGTTCGCGATGGAGCCTCAGTGGGAACGCACCTCCAATCAGGGTGTCCGCCCTGGCGCGCAGCTGGAATTTGTGATAGACTTACAGCTCGCTGCTTGCGATGGCTGTCGGTTTTTCGAGACAAAAGCTGGAGCGCTGCAGACGCCGGATTGGATCAGCACCCGGGCCATTCTGTATGCATATGACCGGTCGACTCAGGAGATGATCTGGGCGAACCGAGCATACGAACCAGCGCGGAAGCGCTTGGCCCAGGCGTGCAAAGACAAGAGCCTCAACACGCCCATTTATGGCGAGCGGGGTCACCAGGAACTGATTGATGCAAACGGCTATTGCTTCAACTACCTCGTGGCAGGCCTAGGGTATCGCAATTTCGACACCTGGAAAGACGCCGCTAAGGCATGCAAGGATGTCTACGACCTTGATTTCTACCCAACAAGCATGTGTGGTCTAGACATTCGCATCCCGGAAGGGCATGCCTTGCAGGGCTCTGAGTCATTGTACAAGATGGTGGTTCACGTGGCTCCGAAGCAACCTCATCAGAAATGCAACGATGAGTCGGATTGGCGCCGCCAAGAGAATGTCAGCATTCCTTCTTTTGCTTGCCCGAGCTGCGGTACATCCAACGTTGATGGTACAATCTGCTGCTATCGATGTGAGTCTCGACTGGAACCGCACTCAGATGTGAGCATGGCTTTGGAGAACACCCGTGCCAAGCAAGTTGCCGCCCGGAAGGGTGAGCCCCTGGATTACAGGGCATTGCAACCGAGCGGGGAGGTCAACTCCAATCGGGCCACGGGCAACAAGAGGGATCGGAGTGCTGGCTCTGGCCCAGCCGCTGTTCGCCAGCAGGCCGCTAAGTACCTCGGAAAGGCCTTGAAGGCGGGTTCTCGCACTGTTGTTGAGCGTCAGTCTCGTGATCCGTTCACGGCCTACAACAATGCAAGATTTGGCATATCCATCACGGGGCTTGAGCAACTCATGATTTTCGCCCGAATGAGGATCGCCAACCCGCCGAGGTCACGCCAGATGATCCATGACCGCACTGGCTTTGACGGCGCAGCAAAGGTGAGCTTCTCATTCCCACCGGAAGGTGAGGACCTGACACTTACGGATCACTGCTTTGTGGCGTTCGTGGACAGGTTCTACAAGCTTGATGAAGCCGCCTTGTTGGCGTTTGCCGTCCATCGCAATGGCTACGTCATGGACATCCTGGGCTTTAGCGGTCGCGTGTTGAAGCCGACCGGTCCAGTGGTACAGATCTTGGCTAGGATT